CCCGCCGCCCCGCGGCCCCCCCGCCGCGGGGACCCCGGCGAGGCGCTGCTGCCGGCGCCCGAGCGTCCCTAGCGCGCTACACCGCGCGCCCCCCCGCGCCCGGCCGGCCGCGCTCTCCCCGCCGCTGCACCTGCTCGCTGTGTCTCCATCCTCCGCTCGGGACCTTTAAATAGGACACGTCACCGCGTTCCCCTACGCACTGGCGTCACACACCGCTCCCGGCGCTGACGTCACCGGGGTGCGGGGGATGATGTCAGAGTGTTCCACGCTGCCGGAAGCGCTTCTATAATAGGCAATGGCGCGGGGGCGGGAGGGAGGTGAAGGGAAGCCTAGGCCCGGCTGCTGCCCCCTCGACGAGCTCCCCACAGCCCTAGCTGTCTCCCCCTCTGTCCGGCTCCCCGCGGCGCTCTGCTCGGCTCAGGGACAGCATCCTTCTTGGCCCCGCTGCCCCGACAGCACAGCGAAACCAATCCGCCTCCTGGCCCTCCTGGGAAAAAAACCCACAAATTTAAGAGGGACCTAGATGGACCTCAGAGCTTAAGCATTCCAAATGCACGCGCCACTGCCGCCGCCACATAAATATCGTAGCCCGAATGGAGAGTGCAGGTAAACTGCATCCGCTGCTCTGACCTTGGTTTTTTTTTTTTTCGGTGCAGGCTGGCATGAGAGTATCCCCCAGATCCAGTTGAGGCTTAGAAACTTTTTGCTCTAACCCCAGACCACACACTCCAAACAGAAAGCAAGAGCAGCTTCTTGTTTCACTGGGGAAATCTATCCTTCGGCACATCTGAGCCAACAGCATTAGAAAACGGTGCTTTGAATCCAACCCCACAAAGATCTGCCATGGAAATGTGGATCCAAAGTCCCAGTGCATCAAGCTTGTTGCAAATTGATAGAGCTGCATTACAAATGAACACATCTAGCTTTTGGATACAGCTATGCTTAAGTATTCCAAAACCAAAATGTTACCAGCTAAACCCAGAGGAACGACAGAAACAACTTTCATTGTCCAGCAGATTCCAACGCCCTCGTGCTCTGCAGCCCAGAAAAGCACCAAGAGCTTGCCACAACCTACTGTTCTTCCCCCAATCCTGCAAGAATATCATCCAAATATAACATGTTGCTAACTCCTACATAACTAGAAAAGCTCAAGGTCTGACACATCCTGTTGCAAGTTTAACTAGTTTTACATTACGAGGCACCTGGTTTTCTTCCTAGATCCAGCAAAAATGTTCATAAGTGTCTAAATTCTACTGTATATATACCAGGCCAACTGTAGCTGTTCTTAGACAAGGCTAATGTCAAGTGACATCAAAGACTTCTAAACCGTGGTGCATTTTTGAACTAACATCTTATATTAGACTGCCTTAAATTTTCCCATAAAAATAAAACTGAATGTGCAAGGAAGTATCAATGGAACACAATAGTGATGTGCAGTCATGGTAAAATGCTGGGGTACTTGCACATCTTAATACACTCACAAAATTAGAAAAACAAAGCATGAACTAATTTTGTTGTCTCATAACTGTCCTTTAATTCCCTCTATCCTCACATAAGATATTTAAGATAGGGCAACAGCTCCAGTACATCAGACTGGATATGTACATCAGTGTACTCCGGTTTGACATTTTTAAGCAGTAGCAGGATTTTATTGAACTGCCTGGCATTCACAGAGCATTGATGGACACTTTCTAAAGGAATATGTAGATATTGAGGTAAAACACCTTCCTTAATATTTTGATCTAGAGCAGTAACTGAATATAGACAAAGAGGACTCCTTACACAGGAGGATGAAAACAATTGATTAAATAAGGGAAATCTTTTCCAAACAAAAATAAACACAAAAAGCCTAGTGTGAATCATTCCTATCAGCAGCACTGAGGTGTCAGGCAGATTTCATCACAAGGCAGGAAACAGCAGTTTCAGATTCCCACTCTGTCCTTTTATTTAGAAGTACAGTGTAGGCACTCAGCTCTGAAACCTTTAGAATCAGTGGTATCAATCTGAAATTTACTACTCTCCAGGTTCAAAGCAGGTGTATTTATGAATAAGCGGTGAAGAACTTTTGTGCCTGAAGACCAAGCAGCCATGTATGCAACACTTGTTGTCTATTGTAACAAATAAAGTACTAAAAATTAACTAAAGCTCTAAAATCTAAGCAATGCTATGCACCTATTTAGTTCTTCTCTCCCAACTAGGTGTCCTGGATCTAAATAAAAATCTTATAGGATTTGATGATGTCCAAAGTGAGATATTTCAACCTTTCAGAGTTGGCTCAGCCTTTCAATTTGTTCATATTTTTGGTTTGTATGAATTCTGATGCTGTTTTCCCACCTAACAGTGCAACAACAAAAGTTTGAGAGTCTGAACAACAACAACAACAACAACAACAAAATCAAATTCACAAGCCAAACCTTGAGGGAAAGAACTGCCTATTGTCTTGGGAGTCAGATCTGCGAACAGGTTCAAGGTAGGAAAAAAAAAAAAAAAGGCATCTCCAGAACACATCCACTTGGGATGCCAGGAATCTAGTTTTTATGAAAGTGTAAGACGTCACACTTGTTAATATTGCTCTTTAAGTATAAGATGCCTACTTATCTGAAACTTGGGAGACCATCCCCTGTTTATATATGTGAAATGTTCATATATGCAAAATATTGGAGACACACAAGACATTTATAGCATAGAATGGGATTAAAATAGGGAAAAATAAAAGCAAAGACCACACTCAACAGTCCAGATATGTTATAGTATTATGAGGAAGCTTAGTACAAAAACCACATGCAAAGATATTCACTTTTTTGCATTTTTGGTGACCATGTAGACGTTCATATTAAGTGGAATTCAGACAAGCTACAGTCTAGTGTAATAAGTATAAGCAGCAAAAAAATCCTTACCAAGGGAACAGAAACAGTGGATGCAAGATGTTGTGCATAGCAAATCTCAGAGTTAATCTCTTTGTCACTGAGATCTTCATTTAAAACAGTAATACTTCATCATCAGTACAGTTTATCATTTTAAACTAACAGCTTCAAATCATTGTCTTCCTTTGCCTTCTTCATTCCTGCTAATCCACTTGCTATCTAATCATAATACATAGCTCAGCTAAATTAACATCTCCAAACTTAAGCTTTGTTTACCTAAATAAAGTTTACCAATTTCTAAATGGATTTGGCTAATTTAGTGCATTTCTCTCACATGAACAGGCCTTCATTTACTCCTGCCAAATTTAATTAAAGTTACTTTTCTGCCCTGCAGGGTTTTTGGTAGTAGCTGTGTAGATCTAAGGACACAGGCAGGCAAGCTTCTTTGGATAGATGTGACCTCTTTTATTAGACCAGCTAAGTAGTTGGAAAAAAAAGTTCTTTGCAAGCTTTCATGCATAAGCACCCTTCTTCAGGCATAAAGAGTCTCTGCTGTTCTGTTTTCTACCTTCCAATTTCCACTAACCAATGCACGAAAAACACTGCATTATTAATCAAGGTTGACATTTATTTATTTATTTATTTATTTATTTATTCATTGGATTTGTATAGACATAATATACTTAATATTAAACAAAAAGGTAAGAAAAGAAAAGGTAAAGGAGCCAACAGTACTCCTCCATCTAAAGATATATACCTCACCATGTACATAAGAAATTGTGCGTAACAAACTTGTGGACTGCAACAGTAGAAATATAGAAATGTGATTAAATTAATAGAAAGTGAAAACATGCACTTAATCTGGAGAAGAGAAGACTGAGAAAAGATCAGATAAAAGCTGTTATTAATCTGAAGGGTGGTTCCAAAGAGGATGGAACTAGCCTGTTCTCAGTGGTGGCAGATGACAGAACAAGGAGCAATGGTCTCAAGTTGCAGCCAAGGAAGTTTAGGTTAGATATCAGGAAAAACTCTCTCACAAGGAAGGTAGTAAAGCACTGGAACAGGCTACCCAGAGAGGGTGTGGAATCTCCATCCTTGGAGGTTTTTAAAACCCAGGTAAACAAAGTGTTGGGTGGGATGATATAGTTGGGGATGGTCCTGCTTTGAGGTTAGATGACTTCCTGAGGTCCCCTCCAACCCTAATTTTCGATGATTCACTTGAGAACTAACAAGAATTTCTCATAGAATTTGGAAATGACAAAGGAGGAGAAAGATCAGGTTGTGTCTGTCATGACCCAAAAGGCATGATTGTGTGTGCGCGCTTCGGAACCAGAATTATCCCCGTCAAGTTGCAGAGCATTGCACGGGAGAGTTTCCTGTTGCAGAGGAAACCCCGGTGCAGGGACCAGTTTCCCGCCTTTTCTGCAGCTTCTTTTGCAGAGTGCATTGCTCATGTTGCAAGAGGAATGCACAGTGCAAAAGAGTTCCCACCACCGGTATGCAAATTTGTTCCCCGTGATTGGCTAGTGCTAAATTATTCACATGTGGCGGCTAGCGATTGGCCTGTTAGCCGTA